ATCCAATTTTATATTTTCTTTTAATTACAAACTGCGATTTTTTTTCACTTATAGAAAAGTTGGATCTGTAGAGAATATGATGAATGCATGGAATGTGAACAAGTATAAATCATTATAATTGAATGATAAAAGAAATCTGAATCTAGATTTCATTTTTTAAATTAATATTACAAAATTTGTTGTTTAATTATAAATGTTGATGGATCGATGGAATTTGGAGACTTTTTAGGGCCCGGTGCCTGGTTTGTCCGAGACTGGGCGCCCGTTTGATAGCAGATAGGAGGCTGGTATGTTCTCATTACGCCGCGTGCAGGTATGCGCCCGGCCAGTCGTCTTTTATCCTTCTCGCTCTTCCTCTCCCGGTCTGATCCTTCTCTTCGTGAACCCTTTATCCTGCTCCGCTGTGCCGCGCCGCACCGGTGCGCTGCTCCTCTTGGATCAGGACTCAAGTCACGTTCACAACAATTTGTATCATTCAGTCCTTGCATACAATTTTTCTTTTCTTTTTCCTTGAGTCATAATCGAGCCTGAAGGTATTTTTGTAGTTTCGTTAATTAGTTTGAAGAGAATGGGTATGTTTGAACTTTAAAGGATTGTTTATGTGATTAAATTTATGAATTCATGTTAAGGAATTGTTCATTTATTATTAAGAATTTTTTTAATTATTAACTAATTTATAATCAGTTTATAGATAATTAATTAAATTTATTATTTAAACATTTGCCTATGTGAAAGTTTCCTTCGACCTCATAACGTGTTCCTCCTCTTCTTGTTCTTTCCTTCTTTCGTTCTTCCTCAGTTCTCTTCCTTCTCTTGCCCATCCCCGCTTCTCTTGACAGGTTATTTCATCAGTTTTTTTTCTCTGCTTCTCCCTTTCCCGTTTACTTCTTGGCCAAAGATAAAGAGAAGACGGGAGCCGAGGACACCTGTTGCGATATTCGAATTTTTCAAAATAAAAAACTCTACTCATTTCCAACCGAAGAAACAGCAGATCTTTGACTCCTCGGGTCTCTTTTCAATGTTCTTTTTTTGTAAATTCTTTGCCAAGCAAAAAATTCAGACTCGAAAAACTGGTTTTCAATATCTACACCTGAACGTCAAAATACGATACGTTCATGTTCATTAATTTTATTGTGGGATAAACTCAAGACGCTTTGACAGAAAAGAGTTCAATTCATCGCCTGATTGACATTTATTTATATAAATTTTGTAATTTTAAATACATTTATTTCGTTTCGTATTACAATATTTTGAGGGAAGAGTGTTCTTGCGTTTGTGATTAGTAGCTTCTTTCCAGAAATTCACGGGACATTAATTCATGGTTGATAATCATAAATGCATGATGAATGCAGGCTTGTTTTACCAAGATTTTCTGAGAAAAACTACTGCTGATCTAATTCCTCCAACAGCTACATATGTATAATGATCTAAATAAGTCACTTTCGATTTGATTTTCATAATAGATCAGGTCAAGCATTCTATTATGTCATGAATTAAAATCGAAATGAGCCTAGCGTGCATCTATTGCAGAATTATTTACCCACGATAATTAAAACATAATGTGACTTGAAATTTTAGTACAAAACTAATGAAAACGATTCAGCAGTGAGAGTATAAACGCAAATAGAATTTAGGACTTGCAATCTTTAATACATCAGAATAATGAAATAATTCAATCTCTTATGAATATGCAAAACTAGCTAATAAACTGTTGCATGAAAAACAGGAAGTACTCGTGTTATGTTCGAAGAATTTCATTTAGAGTAGACTATCTTAATGAAATGGGAAATGGAGACGGGAATCGAGACGAGACAATCGTCGGGTTTGTTCTGGGCAAGTGGAGCGAGATCGGAAGATCCAAGGGGGATCCGCGCCGTGAACTGAACTAGAACCCGATGGATCGAGAGATCGGAGCGGCGTGTAAAACCGGCTGGGCGTCGTCGGCGGCGCGGCTGCTGCCGCCAGCCGGAAAAGAGACGGCGAGGAAGAAAGAAAAAGGAGCAGAAGAACGAAACAGCAACAGAGGGACCACAGCTCTCATATACTTACACCTATGTGAGAGAGCGTACGGGGGAAAGGGACAGAGGAACATGAAGGAGGATGGTGGAATGCCCCTCGGCTTCTTTCTTTTCCCCTTTCTCTTCTTCTTCTTCACTGACCAACCGATCTCCTTCTTCAGTGCCGGAATTTCTTCTACACAGGTGGACTTTGCGACCTGCCTGTACCATTTCTCTTATTTGGGTTTCTATTATATTGAACATTTTACAAATCCATCGATTTTCTTCAGATCATTTCTTCAGATCACTGTCTAAACCCTTCATGAAATTTATATTATTTATATGA